TGTAGTGTGTGTGTGTGTGTGTGTGTGTGTGTGTGTGTGTGTGTGTGTGTGTGTGTANACTAATATATATATATATATATATATATATATATATATATATAATATATGCATATATAGATATATATATATAATAAAATATATGTACATATATATATATATATATATCCGAAAAATATTTATCATTCTGTAATATCATGATTACGAGGAAATAATTGCAGTAAACTTTGCCTTTATTATCATAAACTGGTCTGCCTTCACTGATCACTTTTATACTCAAATACAGCCAAAGCTCATATACCATATTTTATTGCCGGTTTATATTTCATTTAAATTATGTATCGGAAGTGCTATATTTACCTTGTAAAATATCTTCTAATAAACATTTTACTAACCCCTAGACTCGAAACCATAAAACTCTTTTAAAAAACGGTGTGTCAATGATAGGGAAAGCATCAACTTTAAAATGTGCGGCTCTGTCCACCCAATTTGCCGACTAATAAACGAATAATCGGATTGTTAGCCGAGCAGAGCGTTTACCCTTGCCTTGTGTATGATCTGGTTCCTGTCCAACTTACAATAATACTAGTTCAACTTTGCATGTGTATGCCTTTGTGATGCCTATGTGAACTGAAGATATCGTTTCCAATCTAGTGTATTTGTTTTAAAAGGGAAATGGTTTTCCATTACAGTTTAGACCCATCTTATGAGCATGAGCACTTTCACTCTTCCTCGAGGTACAGCTCGGAGAGTAGAACCAATAGTGCTCATGATACACGAGTGTACTGATATTGTAAGCATGAAATGGCATAGCTGTGTGTACATTCAAAACTATATATTAGGATTGTTAGGTCACCCAGAGACGCGTTGTGAAGACGGTGGTGCTAAAATTGTGGCTTCTATACTGTGGATGATTGATAAATTTTGTTTTACAGTACCACGTAGTTTATCAGCTTATAATCAACTAAATCATCAGTGATTGCGATTTCTTTCAATCTAGTAAATAGAAACAAATATGATAACTTCGGTTCTCAATTGAGAGAACAAAACTACTGATCTCACCACTGTGAACACAAATTATGTAACTCTTTTTCTGACGATAACGCTTTGAACTTCAACACTGACTAGAATTCTTCCTAAACATACTACATATTTACATGACAGACTACCAAATATGTTGTGTCGTATATATATTGCAAGCATACTTGTGTGCTCTATAATTTTTGTATGGGCATTGGCTTAACTTAACTCTTTACAGTGATTAATAAGCAGATCAGAAGATAACAGTACAAACTTATATGTTGATCTGTTGTAAACTAGACCTGTTTTTAAACACTAGACTACGAAGAAAACCCCCTATAAGAAATATAGCATGGACCTCGTGAATTGAAGATATCTTTCATTTGACCCCACTGCCCAACGCGGATATGTACCAAATTTCATCCGAATATGTTATAGTGCGGTTTTTTAAGTTATGTATATCTATAAATATATGGTGTCAACACAGTCGGCGTACTAGTTGTGATGATTTACGAGATATCTCAGTCTAGTCCTAAATAGGAACAAATGACATGAATTCATATTATTCAGAAATATCCCTTCAGGTGGACCACAACAATCTGACCACATCATAAACAGCATGTAACTCGTTAAAACACGATAACTCTTTGATTATCAATATAGTTCTCAATTATGGTCTGCACAACAACCTAAAAAAAAATACAAATTACGTCCTGTCTATGATGCATTTCTGTATAGTTCTGTATACCGGCTTACATTCGCAGTTCTGTGCTTCAATGTAGTAGTGTGTTTTTGGACTGGTGTTGCACTTGAAATACAAATCAGATGTCTGCTCACCTTCTATTTGTAGAACCATTCTCGTTTATCAGTGTTTGTCTCTTGTTCCCACTCTAGTCGTCTGTATCAATTAACAACATGTACTGGTTGTTGTGAGACTTCTTCAACGATTTTTTTTCATGGATCTTCCTACTTGTATCTGTGATATGTGTATAGCCTGTGTATGCTTACTTGCCTCTCTATTTCTTTATGAGGTATCTGCTGTGCAGATTATGCCCTGATGATAATTGCTTGAAGGTGGTTCGGTACTCCCTGTGGGAATTTATTTGTATATAATTGTGTTATCAATTTTATTTGTCTTCGTTTTGCTCATCTATCTTTGTGTGATATGTACTCGGTGGGTTGAAAGTGTCCCTTCTTGAATAGATCGATTACCATGTATTTACTTCGCCCCTATTTATTGTCGACTGTGATCTATATTTTTACCGCGTGATATTCTACATTACTGTATTTCTATTGTCCTATTACCCTTTAATGTCCTATCACTCGTATCCTATTGAATATCTATGAGACTACTCTAAAGAGCGGGTGGGGTGTTTGATGTCACTTGTATTTTCTTTCTTATAGAGATGACTTGATATCACTTGTTGATAACTTACTTGATTGTGAACTTTCATGGGACCTTTCTAAAGAGTGTGGTGTTTGGTATCCCTTGTGTTCTATTTCGTATATAGATGGCTTGAGATTATCGGGGAATAAAATACTCCAATGTGATTATCCATGGAGCTTTTACCCACTTGTGACACTCTTAATATAGCATGTGCACTTGCCATTACAGTTCGCTTCATGGTGTCCCAGTAAGCCTACCTTATATCCAGATCCTAATGTTATTTTTGGGATGTCTGGGGTCGTCTGGTTTGCCGCGTGATAGTTGATACGTGCGGCCTAGACCTGGTTTGCAATTTTTTATTGATTAAATGCATCACTGTTGACACCTATACTCTGGTACTAGAGATAAAGTGATATATATGATATAGATTCTTCCTGAGCTAGGAATCACTGTTGGTGCCTTTCTTTTTGTTTTTGGGTTTCGTTCTCAGGGAGAAAACTTGTTTGTTTGTTTTTTGTCCCGAGTTCTATATTTGCCCTGTTTGTTGGAGGCTATCTTTTGCTTCTGTAGCTTATCTTCTCTTGTGCTTATAGTTTGTGAAAGTGACTTCGAATTTCTGACACTTTCACAGACTAGTTTTTGTAAGTAGTTATGAAGGTTACTTAGCATTGACTTGTGTTTACTATACTACCTTGTTGTTCTAGTCTATGTTATAGTGACTTGTCGTGGTAAGGATGTTACTAAAAATATAGAGTTCGAGGGTAACTCATAAGATACGACCAAAAGAAACAATAGACCACTTGTCAAGTTCAAATCTCTCAGCTAGGTAAAGTCCAGGTTTGAAAAAAAGCACACCGAGTCTTTATCTATGATTTGTTATTTTTTAAATTATACAGACATATAAAAGGTACTGAGCTGCTTGGAAAAATCCGGCTTATCCATTTTTAGTGGTCGTACATTTTGTTTGTGAATACACATGAAGTACACTTGCATGAGTGCTATAGAGTATATTAGGCTTACACAGTGGACGTCACTGGCTAAAGGCAAGAGGTATTCGTCGGTGGCATTTATATTCTCGAATTGTATAAAGAGGGTATGCAGGGTGTCCAACATGACAACAGAATTAGAAATTGGATTTGCGAAACATTGTTCTCGTATATTCCTGCAAAAGAGCATCACAGACCACGTGAGTTGCGAACCAGGCAGTGAGATATAAGCTTTAGAATATGAATTTTCGAAACACTATTATCGTATGTTCCTGCAAAAGAGTATCACAGACCACGTGAGTTGCGAACCAGGGAGTGAGATATAAACTCGAATGAAGCAGCATATGTCAATACCAATCAATAAAAGACAACATACCCTCCCTCAACTCATTTACTCGTAAAAAAATGGATACAGCCAAAGGCACTTTAATTTAAATAAATCAAATTTTGCAAGATAAAGTCAGTAAATGTACATTTTATAATGTACATTTAGCGACGTTGTTGAAACCTACATGTAGCGTGATGATTACGGATAGATGGTATTCATTCACGCTTCTCTCCGCAGAAGACACACGCCCATACTTTAGGCTCACAGCGTACGCATAGAGCAGGGTTTTAGCTAAACCCTAAAACACATACTATGGAAACTGGCACCGCATTTTATATG